GTTTGCATTAAAAGTGATTGGCGCTCATCTGTTCACATTGCTCTACTATCACTGAAGACCAGACCTTAAGGAGAAAATGCTAACTCACCCTGTCTCTGGGGTTCCCTATATGCGCTTGGGGGTCAGAGGGTGCTAGACAGGTAACAGAGAACAACGTTTATAAAGCATACACAAAGATGTTTATATTATACCAGGGACGAGCAGTCAGGGGAGGCAGGTGAGGCAGAGCCTCACCTAGTATTATGGAGGAAAAAGCTGTCAGCTTCAAGTCTGAAGCTGACAGCTTTTTCCCCATTCAGATTGGCTTCTATCAGGTTACACAGCAGGGAAAGCCTCCTCGCTGTGTAACTTGTCATGGACGGAGCTCTGCCTGTCCATTACAGGCAGCGCTGCATCCGGCTTTTGACGGGTAGTTACGTTACACAGCAGCGGGCTTCGCCCCTGCTTGTGTAACCTAACTATTGAGGCAAGAGCTGTTACAGCCTATACTCTTTGTTAGAGGCATGAGCTCTGTGGATGGCTTGGACCAATAGCAAAGCGCCATTGGTCCAAGCGGTCCAATCAAAAAAAGAAAAAAAAAACTACTGAGGCCATCGATCTCAATGCCTTAGCAGTGAGGGACAGGGAGGCCCCTCCGTCTCCTTTCTCCTTCACACTAGCTTGGGGACCAGGTTGGGGGCGGGGCTTCAGTCGACGGGTGCGGGGCTATAGCTGGCGGGGACGGGACGCGCTGGGGGCGAGGCTGGGGAATGCCTCACCTGGAACCAGAGGTACCGCACTTCACTGTATTATACGTATACTCTAATTAAAAAATGTAATTACTGTAACACATATAAACATACTGAAATCCTATATGTATTCATCTCGTACATTTTTTAAAATGAGTTTACACTTTAAACATCCTTAATTGGGTCCAGACTTTCAATAAAGGGACCTACATGAACGGTAGTGAAGGGAAAGGCTTTTCAGTTTATTTTGTACTCCTTTCCCTCTCTTTGGCTGCTTCATGTTGACTCATTAAGGTACCTTCTTTAACTATATAGGCTGGATTCTGGCTCATGTCCAACACATGTGTATGATACAGCAGGGCTCAAAATTTCAAGTCCTGAGCTACTAGCTAGACCTTAAGAGTCACTAGCCACCAGTTGCCCCGCCTAACCCTTAAGGCCGTGACACACTGCACGCGAAGCCGTGCAGAGCGAAGCAAAGCTTTCCGGCACGGAGCTTTGCGTGCAGTGTGTGAGCTGAGTGCAGTCAGATGATTGACTGCACCTTCAGCCAATCGGCTCGTGCTTAACAACCAGCCAGACGTCGCATCACGTCGCGCCGGTTTATAAGCGCGAGCCGATTGGCTGAAGTTTAAATTATTCATTTCGGCATGCTCAGCTCCACAAGCTCTTGCCAGCTGAGGTGCCCAGGAGAATATGACATGACACACTGCTCGCAAAGGCAGCGCGCCACCGCTCAGCGCTGCTTCACGTGCAGTGTGTCACGGCCTTAACCCTGCCACGGCCTTAACTCCGCCCCTAAACACACCCTCTTAAATAATCTTATGATAGTTGCCACAAGTTCCTGACACAGGAATCTCTAATCACACCTGAAATATACTGTAGGTGTGAATGGGGCCTAATATACACATACACTAGAGGTGCCCATACACCTGACAATTATCGTATGATAATCGCGGGTGATCACGCAATCGTACGATAATCGACAGGTGTATGGGCAGCGTGCGACCGCTTCTACTGTAGGGTCATACGACTTTCGTCTTCCAAGCACGCTGGAAAACCTCCCGAAAAATCGTACAATTTTTGGCGTGTTGGGGGCGTGGTCGGAAAAGACGAATGCCGCACGGGCCGGTGTGCGCAAGCGCACACTGCCTGCTCAGCACTGCAATCATGGGAAGCCCTCCCCTCAGCGGGGATGGCTTGCGATGATCGCAAGTATGATCTACCTGTCCAAGATGGGCATATAGTACGAGATTTTAATGACCTTACAACCATCGCATAACAAAAGTTGTGCACATAAAATAATACGCTCCCCCCGTATTAACCCGGCATCTTGATTGCCCAGGAAGCCAGCTCCACGCTGATTGGCCAGGAAGCCGGCTTCCCAGCCAATTAGGTCATTACCCGCTGCCTGGCTTACTGATTGGCCGGGAAGCCAGCTCGATGGTAATCAGGAAGCTGGGTCATTCCTGATTGGTTGGGAAGCCGGCTCCATGTTCCCTCACGGCACTGCCGGTCAGAGGAAATCTCCCTCTGACTGGAAGTTTCGGGTGTCCGGGGTAAGTATGAGAGCATTTGGGCAAGTAAGGATACTCGCCGAAATACAGTGCTCGGTATCGGCACATCCCTTGTTTAAACCTTATCATGCTTGGATGTTTAACAAAGTAATACTACCACCACCAGTGTTTCAAGGTAAGTTAGTCACGTTGGCAGTCTGTTTGTTGACCAGCTCGTAGTCAACTCATAGGCTTCCAAATTATATCTAGCTGTTGGCATTACAAGTATGGAAGTGCCCTCACCAATTCCATTCATGGCTCTGTGCAGAGCAGGGCTCTCCTTCAACACTGAATGATGTAGAAATGCTCCAGAGTCATCAGTTGTAGACTAGAAGCAGACAAAGGTATCGCTCTCCTTTTGCTAAGCACAGCACAGGATTCAAGTGTCTGTTTAGACCCCTGGTGTGTCATTCGCTGCCCGGCATTGAAAAGAGGGCACATGTGGCAGGAACGGGGGTGAAGGTCACCCCATGGCAGTTGCTGACCTGATGGTCAGCTGATCATTCCCTTATGAGAGCAGTAGGAATCTCTAAGTAGCTAATCCAAACTGTTACTTGGGTGGTACGAAAAGATAAAAAATTAAATCTAGCCAGACAATTCATAATTTAAAACAATATATTTTTATGTTTATAAAAATATGCACATATGTTGACCATAGATACATTCATAGTTTTAAAGAAAACTTTATACTGAGAAAAATATGCAACCTGTCATTGGCTGGTCTAAGAATATTAGTTCCCTGGCTGTCTTTGGCTTATATACTTTCTGAGTCACTGGTATTGAACAAGAATGCAGATCAGACAGAATGAAGTCAAAAACCCTTTTGGCATAATTGTTCCAGTTCTGTGATTAAAAAAGAAACTGAAGCCGTTAGTTTAGCATGACAGACAGGCAAATACAATTTTGTAATCGAAAGGTCAACAATGGCAGACTCCACATATTTTTTCAGTACCTGCATCCATTAAAAGAGCAGTTTATATTAGTCACTGTAAGCCTAATTGCCACATTTGCCTTTATTCCTTACAATGGAAAAGCAGATGTGCAATCCAGGAAATGGCATCCGCAAAAATGTTGTGACTGAGCCGTCCACCTAATTATTTCATAATTCTCCTTCAAAATTGACTTAGTGTGGAAAATAGGAAGCATGCATTCCATCATGAGAGCTAAGCTTGTTTTTCTTGATTTAGATATACAAAGCGAATATGTGCTGAGAATATAACATTAAAATCCACACAAATGCAGATTATTATTATTATACAGGATTTATATAGTTAAAGCCCAAGACTGGTCCGCTCTTTCCTTTTTGCCCCCACCCCCTTGGAGCACCCTTGACACATTTGTAAAAAAAACAAAATCAACATGCATACCTTTTCTTTAGCATGTTCAGCCCAGTACAATGATGTCACAGTTCCTCTCCACCCTGTTCTTCTTCTGGCAGTAAGTAGATCCCAAATGCTGCAGAAAGCGGCACCATGTAATTACATGGCACCACTGCAGCATACTCCTGTAATGCCAGGGTGGGGGTGGAGTTCACAGGAAGTGGGTTAAATGACATTGGACTTCTTTTAGCCCAGAGCAGGGGCAGCTGGGAGTCAGGTCAGTGAGTCAGTGGGGGACAATGCTGGATATCAGGCTAGTAAAGCAGCCAGAGCTCCGTATTTATTTTTACAAAGGGGCTGGGGTTGGAATTTTTGAATTTACATCCATGCTGGACATGGACTTTAACACCATGCTAACACCATTATAGTTGGGTTTAGCTTTTTCCATGGACATGGCCTTGAGTGGGGATGCTTTCCTATTTAGAGGGTTACTGTGAGGCTCATTACTTGTATGTGAAAATCCATACAGGAGCAGACCAAGAAGACATATAACTGCACTTTTGGTGCACTAATGTACAGATCTGTGCTTACATGCAACATTCTCTACAATAACTTTAATGATAAGTAAATGTAGTAAGGGTCTACTGCTTTTTTAGTCTAGAGGGGCGTAAAGCAGTTGAATACTTACCTTATTCTTCTTCCGTGGCAGTTCCTGGATTAACAACCTATCCCCCTAAGCTGCTCCTTTTTACCTTCTGTGTGGCCACTTCCTTACCAGCATCATCATGCACAATGCAGGATTACTGTTTCTGCACCGTTTGTGAGAATGTCAAGGGCACACCCACATTACAGCGCTAGAGCGAAACACAGCAGAGTGGCAGCTATCAGGGAGGCGAGGAAGAAGGTGGGTATTCCTCTGCTTGACACCCCTCCAAATCAAATGGGTAAATAAAAAAAAAATACACAGGGAACTAACATTTTGGGGCTGATTTATAAAGCATTTTCTGGGCATTACTGCAACTAGATTGTGTAGAGGTGCATAGGTTTGCTATGCTCTTCAGTCCCATCTAGCAGCAGCAAAGCAAGCGAACCACAATCACCCAGCTATGTGCTGGGCAAATGCTTTATAAATCAGCCCCTTTGTCTGAGCTTATCTTAATGAGAAAACTTAATTAGTTTCAAACTACACAGCAATGAGCAGCTGCTGAGAAAATAAACACTTTGTTGGGACTCTGTAATCCATAAAATATCTTTATAGAGAGCAGGGATCACATCTATGTAATGTACTACATAGCACATAGAGTGTAGCAGTCAGGACAATGCAATGTACTTCAATGATGGCTCTGGGACATGTAGTGGGTCTGCAGGACCCCAGAATTTAGAACAAATCCTGGGAGAGTCCCGTGGGATGTATGCCTGCCAGTAATTCAGCTGAGAATGCTGCAGAGTCCTGTGTCAGGAGTGGATACAGAGAGTCCTGTGTGTTGAGTTAGCTGCCCAACCCATGGTGGACATCAATGTATTGTACCTAGCTTTGGCAAAAAAAAGAAGACAATGTTCTGGAAAGGTCCTTTTTTTTTTCCTATTCCTCAATGGGCAGACAGTATCTTTTGTAGACCTCCCCTTCTGAAGAAAGAAAGACTTGCCAGTCTTACTTGCGGGTGAATAAGGATTTGCTAGAGGCTAGAGCAGACTGTGGTTTAGTTTTTAGATTTCAGGGATGGAGATAGGGCGTAGAGGGTACAGGCTTCCATTTTAAAGCAGGCCATGTGGGCCTAAGAAGATATTTTGCAATAGTCACAACAAAGTTATACTTGAGCTTCTTGTTTTTTGGGGCTATATCACCCAGAAGAAGTTCTGCATTAATGCTTCTGGATGCTGTGACCCACCCAGTGACTTATAGCCAAGCTTAGGGAGCCCCATGTAAGTTTTGGGTATTCCACCTTCTTTGTCTTCCTATCCTACCTAACAAGTTCAAGTAAAGCATTGAAAATTGCGTTCAAGTCTTGATCTGCATTTCTGCATAGATGAAAAGGTATATACACCCTTGTAGCAAGGTATTCCTGGACAAGAGTCGTCTTTACAAGCTAAGGCCCTTCTAGGTGGAAGCGCTAGAGACTTAAAAACAACAGGCAATCACAGCACCTGATGGAAAGTCTTCCAGCACTGACTCCCTTTAGGGCTCTGAGATGTTATGGGATCGAATGCAGATAGCTACAGCGAAAGTCAATGCTGAAAATATGCAAGACTCTGAAATGTGTTGTGCTTGTTTGTTAAAAGAAGCTGAATAATAAGGATTGTTTGTAATGATGGCACAGTATTATATTTACAGGAGTCCATATAATTTTCACAGAGAAAGAGTCATATAATTCATCTGCTTACAATCCTCACTTTTCTAGCATATACTCTATATGCAAAAAGGTGTGTTACAATAAACCATGTTCTTTAAGACATAACCCAACTTTCACCCTGGCCACCAGTCACTGAGGAATCATGGCACACTTTGTGTGGTGCATCTCTTTAGGTCACAGTAAACTGTCCCTACCCTGAAGAACCAAGTATGTGTGTTTATCTCTCAGACCAAATGTTCTCAGTCCTCCTGTGACCTGCACCATATTGAGGAAGCGAAACTGAGAGTGAATCAGTCTAACCCAGGGGGACCCGGATCCCGTATAGATATTGGGGGTCAGAACGATATTGTTCTACAAGCAGGAGCAAGGGGTGCTGGAAATTTTTTACTTCAGGTTTGTTTTAACTAGCTTTACAATGCAAGCTGGGATGAATTTAAAAAAACTCCTGTCCTGGAATGGTGTAACTGTAATTAATATTTAGCAATTAGTATAGAAACTGGCAGCGAGGGCTTCAGAAGCATTACAATAAGGCTGACACCGCTTCGTAAGGCCAACAAAGCATGACATATTTGTCTATGCAGAGCATAAACCAATCACTCTAACATCTCCATGAGCCCTGCAGAATGAAAGGTAAGTGCGTGGGGACGAAGAGGAGATGAAAGCAGACCTATGAATAGCAGGTGTTATCCCTCGCAGCTCCCTGCCACAATCACACTGGGGAAATGAAGATTGCTTTAACATGCCAAGCCAAATAAAGAAAAAAACAAAATGAACTTGGACCCTGAGATAAAAATATAGAGAGGAGAATGAAAAGGCTTTCAGCTGGGCTTTTGACTAGAAAGGGGAAGGAAAGCAAGAGGAGCGTAAGGGGAGGGGGAGCATTGAAATAAATTCTTTACTGAGGTGTCTTCCCATGAAAAGCGTTTTGTGCTGCTCTTTGTCACACACGAAATGTCATTTTTTTTCTCATCTGATTTAACACTTTCACTACTATGAGCCCTCCTGTTAATTATACATTATTTAATTACTGGCTTCTTTGAGGCATGATACAGGACTGATGTGAATCCTGGCTCCTAACTACGGAGATGAATAGCAGCCACAGGAAAATGGAGTAATGCCATAGTGACAACCTGAAAATCATTTTGTCTCTGTCAGAAAACTTTGGATTTAGACCATGCTATTAGAAATGTTTAGAATACCTTATTACATTGCAATGGTGATGGTGTGCCATAACCCAGGGTTATCAATACGATTTTATTAGTCAGTCTGCCCCAAAGTTCTGAAGTTTGATATCTAATTGTTGCAATGTATTTTACAGACCATTGTGCTTTGTACTATGTAACTATAGAGTCCTAATAAATTGAACAGGTAGAGGTGAGCGTAGAACTGTGTATTACTTTTAAGAGTTTACCCAAATAGAAATTTGAAATGGATCAGCAAACTAAAGCCTTCTGTAGGTCACCGATCCTCATCGGTGAACTTTTCCACTCCCCTGCAGACTGATAAAAGGGTGCTTTGGACCAATTCACTTCATGGCACCATACAGATACCTTTCATTTACTGACCACAGGATTCAGTAGGGATAAAGTCTTCAATTAAAAGTGTATCTATAGACAAAGCTTTTTTTTTCAGTTTTAGAGTTGGGAAATATTAAAACCTTTGTCAAGTTTAACCACTTAAAGACCAGGGTGTTAAACCCCCTTCCCAGCCAGGCCATTTTTCAGTATTCAGCGCTGCAGTACTTTGACTGACGTTTATTCATCTGCTGCCGGAGAGTGACACTGAATGCGGAAGTGATGTAATATACATAATTCCTGCATTCGGGGACCGGAGAGGAGATCAAAGGTAGATTGTGTACTGATCCCTTTCCCATTCCCAGCCACACCGGGCACGCGGATGATCTCGGGACCCGGCGGCGACGGCAGGGGGGCACACACCCGCACCTACTACAAGCGATCGGGCATCTCTAGAGACATGATGCAGCTGGTGTTCTCACTTGTTTTTAGGTATTTTACATTTATTTACTGTATATTCCTAAATGTTGGCCTTGTCTACATCTGAAATTGACAGTTATCTGGCAGACTTGGGGAACAAATGAACATGTTGGATGGCAACATGACGGAGGATGAGGTCAGGTCTGCTATATTAGCATTGACTAAGGATAAAGCCTCAGGCCCTGATGGCCTACCTCTTGAGATTTATAGTATCTATATTGATATTTTGGTACCTGTACTTACCCGAGTATCTATGGAGTCTTTTCATGTGGGTTGTCTTCCTCCTATGCATGATGCTACGGTCATTCTATTGTGGAAACCTGACAAGACCCTTTGGAATGCTCCTCATATTGCCCTCACTTTTGAATGTAGATTATAACATTTTAGCAACGCTTTTGGCTCCCAGATTGAAGAAGGTCATACTCTCTATTAATCATGCAAACCAAACTGGCTTCATGCCAGGAGGGCTACATCTATTAATCTATGGAGAACTCCGATTATTACACAACTGCAAGATCATCTGCCAAAGGGTTGTGCTATAGCTTCCTTCTATACAGCTAAAGTCTTTAACTCTATAGAATTGCCTTTTTTTTTTTTTTACTAGCCACCCTGCATCATTTTGGTTTTGGACCAGAATTTGTAAGTGGATCTTAATTCTATATGTATATCCTAGGTCACAGATCTTGGTTAATGGGATGCTGTCCTCTCTCATCCAGTTATACCATAGCACACGACAAGGGTGTCCATTGTCATCATTACTTTTTGCTATCGCAATAGAACCTCTGGCTTTTAGGGTTAGACAACAGATAAATATTGAATAACTTTGGGTTGTTGGATGGATAAGATAAGTTAATATGCTGATGATCTGATGCTGTACCTGTAGAATGGAAATGTTTCCCTGCCCAATGCTATCCATGCAATTGAAACGTTTGCAGACTATGCGGGTCTTTGTTATTGCAGCCAAACCTTTACCGTAAAGGGCAAAATTTATACTCTCTAAGATGGGTTTCGGATTTTAAATATCTGGGTTTTGTTGTTACTAGGTGCACAGCTCAGGCTTATTAATATAATGTGGACTCCCTTTTGTGACATATTTTCTGTAAACTGTCAACATGGGTTAAACTCCTTATCCCAGTGGTGGGTAGAATTAAGTTGATTAAAATGTTCCTATAACCCAAATGCCTGTATATCCTGTTGCGTATGCCAACCAGAGTCCCAAAATCACTTTTTTTCAGAATTTAATTAATTATTCACTTCTTTTATGGCAAGATACCAGGCAGAAATTGAAGATTTCAGTGTTGCAGAGGCCTAAGGTGGAAGCTGGCATGGCTCTTCCTGATCTGTCCTTATACTATTTGGCAGGACAACTTCGACATTTAAAAGACTGGCATCTGTCTGATAATGTCCCCTTAGCAGATGCTCATTTAGCTTGGATCTTACAAATACCCCAACTCCTTATGAGCTCCATCTAGATTGTTACCAAAAAAGTACCCCATTTTAGACCTTGCCAGGTTAGAATGGGCTGAAAGTAAACAGTTATTTTCTGATTCTGATATCCCTTGTGATATAAGTCTATGGGATAATATTGTTTATCGGTATTTACAACTATGCTATGCCTTTAACTCCCACTTTGGACTAGCTACAATACGGATATCTGAGTACACTTTGATTGGTATTGTTAAGTTCCAGGGCCTAGGGTCTAGTTTCTGTTTTGTATTTTCAGTTGTTATTTGTGAAATTGAAGGGGCCTCCACTCTTAATTAGGTCTAAGTGGCAACAATGTATCCATTCTTTAACGTAAGAAGAATGGGAGGATATTTGTTCTTTACATCTTAAAGTTTCCCCAGCTGTTAATAATAATATGATTCAACTGTATATTATTCACCAGGCATATTTTACCCCTAATTAGGTTTATAAAATGAAGAGGATGTCCACTGCAAATTGTCTGAGATGTTCACCTTCCCATACAGATTTTATTCACATGATTTGGTCTTGTCCATTTATTATGGATTTTTGGAAGCAAGTGACCTCTATTCGTTCTAGGCTTTTGTCTGAGACGGTTCCTCGCACTTCAGCAGTATGTATTTTTGGTTTACTAGATGAAGAACAATGTCCTAGGTACTCTAAAATATTTAGAAGAGAGACGCTATCTATGGCCCGTAAATGAATAGCTGTTAAGTGGATGCAATCGGGTTGCCTCACAATTTCTCTATGATTAACCAGGTGATTCCATATGAGAAACTATTTTGTATGCATAGAAATTGCCCGAGTAAACATCAGAAGATATGGGGTGTATGGGAAAATGATTGTAAGCATTTAGGCTTTTCTTTTGAATGCCATGAGGTAACTCACAGTGGTTCCCCTTTTGTTTTTTCCTTTCTGTAATCAAATGTAATTTCATGTACTGTTAGTTTAGACTACATATGTTTTAAGGAAGTTTGTATTTTCAAACTGGTATATCTTTTTTACTTTGTTTATTACATAATCAAAGCAGTATACAGTACATTGTATTGCTTATTCATATTTGTGTTGACCACTATATTGCATAATCTCTGAAATAAACAGTTAAAAAAATAAGAGGCACCAAATATTAGGGTTGCACAGATACCAAGTACAGTACTCGGTACAAGTACGAGTACATGTACCGATACTTTTGAGCTCCAAGACTACACTAGAGAAAAATTCAAAAGTTAGGAGGCAGCTGTCATTTGTAAGGAGCACACGGAGCTCCTGGGATTTGTATATCTCTGTTTTAATGTACGATTTTGTTTTTATAAATATAAATAAAGTGATGCACAGATACCAGTTTTGCGAGTACGAGTACTGGTACTTGCCGAGTACTTACAAGTATGAGTACTGATACATTTTTGTTTATTGTCATGTGACAGTTTTTCTAAAACAATACAGACTAATGATTTCAGGACAGTGGTGGAGCGCCAGAGCCAGGTCCCAGCTGCAACCCTGGTAGTTCTCATGAAAATGCCAAGTATCTGCACTGGTACTCGAAAAGTATCTGTGCAACCCTACCAAATATGCATGCATAGTTACAATCTTTTAGATTGTAAGCCCTCAGGGGCAGGACCTTCCTTACCATCTTGTCTGGAAAAATCACTCAGCCTCATAATCTGAGCCGACCTGTGACAATAAAACTGTCACACATCGGCTCTATAAATCGGAAAGTGAGTGAACACATACCGGCACTCGCTCACTTCTCGATGATCACCCTGCAGAGAGCCCGGACTGTCAGTCACGGCTCCCTGCAGGGATTCCCCTCGCTCTGATCCTCCAGCGCTGACTGGTGGAATGGATGGGGGAGGGGGCGGGTACAGCTGGCTCTACCTCTAGATGGGCATAGCCAGCTGTCACTCACGCAGCTGGGTGGATCCAGACAGTATTGTTGAGATCCGTCCCGGCTGCAGCGTCTCAGTATACCACAAGCTGTAGCTCGCGGTATACTGAGCTTAGGGTGACGGGAGGATGCTAGTTTGTGTCCTCCCGTTACCCTTAGGAGAACTATGGGGAAAAGCCCTGACCCCATAGTTCTCCTTTAAGAAGGATCTGCTCACTGGTATTGGGCAGCAGATGTGACCAATGACAACAGTATTTGAAAAAAAAGAATGATTGTTTTTGTTTTTTTTCCAGCATGCATTTTACTATTTTATAACGAGGGGTGCTTTCAAAATAGAAAAATGCATGATAAAAAACAAACAAAAAAAAAGGATCACTGAAACTGCCGGAGGGAGGGGGGTAAATACTTTCTATAAACACTGTAAATTGTACCCAGATGTCTGTTTAGAAGCGGCCGTGTCACCGTGTCCTGGGGGCCTTAGATCACGTACATGATCCATCACCAACCCGGCCGGCTCACTTTGTTTTGGGGCAGCAGGGGGTGTGGTGGTGTATTGAACTCAACGGCACCGCAGCCGAGCCCCCTGCCCCAGTGCGATCGCCGGCACCGTGTGACACATTAGTGCCTGCGTTCTGGTCCAGTACAATCTGCACAAAATAGTGCATGCAGCATCTTTGCAGATCGCACTGGACTGGAAAACGTAGACACTAATGTGTTACGCATTCGGGTGCCGTGATCGTACTGCAGGCGGGGGCGTGGCTTCAGTACCATTGAGTTCAATGCACCACTCCCCCTCCTGCCCCAATACAAAGTGAGCTGCTGGGTTGCGCTCCAGAGGCTGAACGCACTGGAACGCACTCCTTATGATGGGACTGGGCCTTTAGGGCTTGCTCACACAAATTACGGTGCTTTCCAGAGCGGTAGCTGCTGCAACGCACCACAATCACTCACAAATCTTCCCCCTGCGTTCTGGGGTGGGAGGGGGCGTTGCGGTGCATTGAAGTCCAAGGCACTGCAGCCACCTCCCCCCTCCCGTAGTGCGATCGGATGCGTGGCCATTGAATTCAATGCACTGCCACTCCCCAGAACGCAGGGGGAAGTTTTGTGAGCGATTGTGGTGCGTTCCAGCAGCTGCCACTCTGGAACGCATCACAATTGGTGTGAACAAGCCCTTAGACACTGTGAATTCCTTTTTTTTTTTGCTACCCTGTATTTTTTATATATTGTACAAAGTGCAAAAAAAAACAAAAATTCAGAAATAAATTAAATGTTAAAGAAAAAATAAAAGAAGAGGG